ATCTACTGAAGATTTAAATATGCGGTAACATAGTCTGTATAGAATGACTACATAGCAGGGACATTGCTAGGATTAAGATCTGGGGAATCTTGATGTGGCAAATGGTGGGTGTGGCCACATAATGCTAACAGCGAAAGGGGTATTGTTACATGGAATCTTAGCCTACCCGCTGCATATACAGCATACATATGCCACAAAGTTTGTACTCATAAAATATGCTTTATACGAGCTACAGTCTTACGGAGACAAAAACCTCAACACAATCATTTTATTCTTATCACAATAATCAACTGTAGCTCTTCCATTATATGTTTTTTTCTTTGTCAAAGCCTACATTTAAGGAGAACTTCATTAAACTAGTCAGAATTTTGTGATTCTCAAAATTCAGGAAAGATTTTTCCTGAACAACTTGAAAGTTTTATAGGGGTGAATCTTGATATTTAATTCTTAGTGTGCTGCTAATAAGTAAATTGTCAGAAAAGAGGGAAAGAAATCTGGGCACTGGCAAAATGCCAATGCCAAAATTGAAAAAATAAAATAAAAATAAACACACAAGGTACAGGGCTTTATCATGCAGCTTTGAGGACAACATTGAAAAATCCTTTTGTGCTTGAAATTACACATTTAGGGATGCAGTAAAGCTATACAGTATATGGTGTTACAGAACAGCACAATTTTCCAGACAGCCTCAGAGATAGCATAGCAAAGATAAGGAGGATAAAAGAGACTGAGGCCATGGGAGAGTTCCTTGTGGTGTAGTAGTTTGATAATTGGATGACATAAACAATGAAAAGGTAAATTGCAATGGTGTACTCGCATCTGTGAGGTTGCTGAACTTCCTAATGGGGGATCAAACAACCTGAAGTGAAAGCCTGCAGTCTGTCCTTCTGCAGAGTAAGGTCGCGCTCGATGCTCAGTGGGGTGAATCCGGACAATACTACGCTCTGCGGTCTCAGGATTCTGGTGTGTTCATGATAAGAGGCTTATGAGCCCCAAAAAGGTGAGAAACTGGTGTCAGTGGAGGCTGCCAAATATGAAGGAGAAGCTGAAATATGGATTCTTCATAGATTCAATATTTATTGCTCACAGAATAATCTAAAACACAGTCAACGAATTTTGTGGCACTACCTGGCCACTTCCTCAGGATGGTGCATAAAACACTGATAAACAAAAAAATGTATGTAGGTAAAAAGATAAGTATAAAATGTATGTGTGTTTGTATATATGTTATCGCTTACAATGGTTATCAAATTCAAATGATTAAACATCAATAAAACTCCCATAGGTTCGCATGGTAGTCAGAAAAACAGTCTGACAAAATATGATCAATATGTAAATGAAAAGGTAATATAATAACTATAATATTAATTAATAAAACAAAAATAAATAATGATAAATGAATTTGTATTGGGGATAAAGTTAATATTTGTGATATAAAACGTATTGTTATATCAATACCTTCATAATAAAAGCTGTGTAAATATATATTTTTAACTAAACTGTGACTATGTAGGTAGAAGTTCAGGTTACATTTAAACAGCTGTGATCTGTCTCTCCTTCTGTTTGTATGTGTGTTGGTGCATTTTGTCTATATGTTTATATAAATAAACAGCATGCTTGCCAGCAAGGAAGAAATAACTCTTCTAGCTTAATATGCCACTGGGAGATGGCAGCAAAGAAGGGACACCATGCAGTTGATTTTTGGCAGGATGCTCTGGGGGGGGGGAGCTCAAGCCCCCCTGCACCCCCCCCCCTATCTACCTCCCTGTGCCAGGAAATAACTCTTCTAACTTAATGTGCCACTGGCAGATGTGCAACTATGCTGATTAATTACAGAGGATTGACATAGTATCCACTATTTGGGAAAAGATCAAAGCGGGGGACAGACTAAAGCATTTAATGCGAAAATGGCTTAATGTAGCTTAACATGTAATAGACTGCCTAAATCTCAATCAATTGACTTGAAACTTTGCACAGGCCAAGTTCTCAACATCCCAAACATGTCCTAGAAGTTTCATAGATTTTGGCCTGTCACAAAGAATATGGGGGATATAAAGCTTGTTTTTTGGGGAGCTTAATGTGGCTTAACGTACAAAAAAGAGCTTAGATGTTTACCAATTTCCCCCAAACTTCATACAATAGAAGACTCTATGGCAACACATTTGAAAATTTCAGGTCATTTGGTAAATCATACCAAAAGTTATTCACATTAAGCTATATTTTACAGTGCTAAAACACTTAATGTGAACGGCTTAATGTAAAAAGAGCTTAACGCACCATAATGTGCCTAAATCTCAATCAATTGACTTGAAACTTTGCACAGCCTAAGTTCTCAAAATCCCAAACATTTCCTAGAAGGTTCATAGATTTTGTCCTTCCACAAAGAAAATGGGGGACATTAAGCTTGTTTTTTGGAGGGCTTAATGTGGCTTAATGTACAAAAAATAGCTTAGATGTTTACCAATTTCCCCTAAACTTCACAAAATACAAGACTACATCACGGGTACTGAATTAAAATTCATGGAGGTCCGGTATTTAATACTTTCTGCAGAGGTTTGAATATCATTTTTCTTCTATGACTCAGGTCTTTAACTTCACAGCCCCTTTTCAATTAATGTCCTCAGTCCCCCTTTTCCAATCACACCCCTCTTTTGATCACAACCCCCTTTCACATCAGAGCCCCCAAAATTACAGCCCCGCTTACATCACATCCCCCTTGCAATCATAGACCCCTCCCTCACATCACAGTCACCCTTGAAATCACAACCCCCCACATCACAGCTCACCCCCTCTTGACATCACCGCTCTCCTCCTCACATCACAAACCCTTCATATCACAGCCCCCCTCTCACATTACAGCACCCCATATTATAGCTCCCCCCTCACATAACAGCCCCCTTTTCACATCACAGCCACCCATATCACATCAGAGCCAGCCCATATCACAGCTCCCCCATCTTACATCACAGCCCGCAATATCACAGCTCCGCATCTCGCATCAAAGCTCCCCCTTCTCACATCTCAGCCCGGCATATCACATCTCCCCATCTCGCATCAAAGCTCCCCCTTCTCACATCACAGCCCAGCATATCACAGCCCCCTTCTCACATCACAGCCCCCCATACCACAGCTTCTCCCTCTCACATTATTGCCCCGTCTCACAAACCTTCATATCACAGTGCCCCCCCCTCCCCATTCTCATCACAGCCCCCATATCACAGATTCTCCCTATCACATCACAGCTCCCCAAGTATTACAATTCCCCTCTCTCCTCACAGCCACTCATATCAGAGCTCACCCCTCACAGCTCCCCCCTCTCACTTCCCAGGCCCCCATATCACAGCTCCCTCTCTGACATCACAGCCCCCACATAATCTCCCCCTAGCTTAGCTCAGTGTTGTGGAGGGTGAGGAGAGTGGCAGGGTAGACTCCTCTTCTGGCGCACACCTGCTGCTGCCACTAGGCTCCGTGCCTCCTGCCCTCCTCCTTACTGTGGGTTCAGTGGTGGACGAGTGCATTGGGGGAAAGAGGTTGAGCATATTCCTGTAGACCCTCCTTTCCTCCAGCCCACTCTGCTGTGACTTCAACAACGGTGGCAGGTGGGAGAGGGGATTCGGGTCCTCCTTGCAGTTGGTTCAGTGGCGACGAGTGTATTCAGGGGGAGGGCAGCTGCTGCTCCCCATGTAGACCTTCCATTCCTTCTGCCCACTCTGCTGCGGTCCAGGTCCCCGGTCCAGGTCCCCGTCCACCTTGCCATTTCTTCCACCCTCTGCAGGGCAGTAGTCCTTAACATCTGCAGTGGTGGGAGGAGAGGAGTCTGCTCAGGCTGCTGGGTGGTGCGGCCGAGGTCAGGACTGAACTATCACTTGGTCCGTGTACAGACCGCAGTCCGCCATTTAGTGAAGCCTGCTCTACATGTACCAACAAATTGTGAAAATTTCAGGGTTTTTTTTTATAAAACATGCCAAAAGTTATTCAGATGTAATTATTTTTTTTCCAAATTAATGTAAACAGCTTATTGTAAAAATCGCTTTATGTGCCGTAATGTTTATAGACCTTTTTCAATTGACTTGAAACTTTGCACAACTTAAAGCAGAGTTGCACCCAAAAGAGGAAGTTCCTCTTTAAGGGCTTGCCCCCACAAATGTTGGTACTTTTCACAAGCGGGGGGAGCAGGTACCCGATTTTAACAACTGCTCACACTTCCACTCCGACTGCCTAGGCAATCAAAAGCGGAAGTTCTCCTCCTTCCCTCCCCCCTGCAGTCTTCAGGGAAACACATGACAGGTCCCAGAAGACTGCTTGACCATTCACGATGCGCAGCACTCCTCATGCATGCGCACTGGGCACCAGGCTGTGAAGCCACAAGCTGTTACAACCAGGTGCTCTTGGTTAACCACTTCCAGACTGGACACTTTTACCCCCTTCCTGACCAGGGCAATTTTCAGCTTTTAGCGCTATCACACTTTGAATGACAATTGCGCGGTCATGCAACACTGTACCCAAATGAATTTTTTACCATTTTTTTTAGATAGATAAAGCTTTATTTTGATGGTATTTATTCACCACTGGGATTTGTATTTTTTTTTGCTATGTAAATGAAATGTCCAAAAAATTTGAAAAAAAGTGTTTTTTTTATAAAATTTTGCAAATAAATAATATTTCATCATAAATCTTAGCCAAAATTTATTCCGTTATCTTTTTAGTAAAAAAAAAAAATCCAAATTAGTTTATAAGCAAAAATTATAATTTTTAAACATTTTTTTTTTTACATTTTTATTTTATTTTTTTATATTATTATTTTTTATTTTTATATTTTTTTTTTACATACTGTCACCCTAGCAGTACAGTGTCACCATGGTGACACTGTACTACTTGTGAGGGGTGATGAAGATTTTTTTTTTTTTTTACACTGATTGCTTTTACACCCATATAGGATGTAAAAGCAATCATTTCTCTTTCTCTCTGTGTGCATTCTTGCACTCATTGAAAAGAACTGAGTGAGCTGTGATTGGTCATAGCTTGTCACATGGTACAAGGCTTTTGTGAATATCCTTGTACCATGTGACCTCTGTGATCATTCACAGATTTCACACATAGTAAGCAATGATGTCAGAAGTGACATCTTGCTTACTACTTTGCATGTGATCACTGATTGGCCAATCAGTGATCACATGATCGGGACCTCGTACAGAGGTCCCGTCCGACGATCGGTGTTTCACTGTGTCCCAGGGGAGCGCGCACAAGCAGGGTGCGGGGAGGCCGTTTATAGACGGCCACCCGACCCTGCAGTGCCACCGTCCGGCCGTTTATATACAACGGCCGGTCGGGAAGTGGTTAAGATGCCAGCACTGATGAAAGAAGACTGTGGGTGAAACCGGCTAGGATGAGTACACCGCTGGATCATGGGACAGGTGAGTGGTTGTTTTTTTTAAAAGTCAGCAACTACAGTTTTGTAGCTGCTGACTTTTATTTTTTTCACAGGAGACTGGAACTTCTTTGTAACTTTTCAGTTTCCCAAAAGTATTCTGGAAGTTTAATGGATTTTGATTTCCCTCAAGGAATATGCTTGAGGTGATTGTAGCCGTATTAGTGCATTTGCGACAGAAACAATTGAGTACTGTCCGTGATACTTTTTTTATTTGCACTAACATACAATTTTGAGGACAAGCTTTCGGGGTATGTCCCCTTTTTCAAAGTCCAAGCAGTACTATTACAAATCACAAAGTTTAAGAAGAATGTTAGAAGGAATGAAAAAAAAAAGGCTACAGATAAGATACAGCAAAAGGAGGGGGGGGGGGGATACTACACTCACACAGAGGGGGTCAAGCTAGCTAATAGTCATAAAACTGTTGGATAATGATTGAGGAATCCCATGTCCAAGTTAAGGCCATTGTCTCTTGTTTCAAATAGACACCATTTCACACAACTAGGCCACACAATGGGAGACCTCAATGTTTTAGTTCTGAAAGGAAAATTCAAATCCATTCAGGAAAGAAAAACTTTTGAACTAGGAATGATAATTCTATTTGGCACAAGAGAAAAGACCCCCTCTGTGTGAGCGTAGTATCCCCCCCCTCCTTTTGCTGTATCTTATCTGTAGCCTTTTTTTTTTTTTCATCCCTTCTAACATTCTGCTTAACTTAGTGATTTGTAATAGTACTGCTTGGACTTTGAAGAAGGGGACATACCCCGAAAGCTTGTCCTTAAAATTATATCTTAGTGCAAATAAAAAAAGTATCACGGACAGTACTCAATTGTTTCTGCCTCAAGGAATATGAATGACATTAAGCTTGCTTTTTGGGGAGCTTAATGTGGCATAACGTACAAAAAGGAATTTGATGATGTTAATCAATATCCCTTAAACTTCACACAATACAAGACTCTATCTATTACAACATATCCTGAAAATTGCAGGTCATTTGATAAAACATAACAAAAGTTAATCTGATGTAACCATTTTATTCCATTCCTCAAACCTCACACAACACAAAACTCCATTTATTCAACTATATCCTGAAAAATTCAGTAGTTTTTCTGAAAAAAGGAGTGAACATTGACAATTTTTTAAATATGACATTGGGGACATGACTTCATATCTCTTAATTTCTGTAAATGCTACCTTCATATTGCAACAAGTTAGTTTGCAAGAAGACATTTGAAACTATGAAACTATATAAACCAAAACATAATAGTGATCTTGGAGAAAAACTTCAGTCTGTATCCAATGCCAGGACCCATAGTCAGTGGGCAAGAGGCTAGCCTGCAGTCCCCTCCAAAAGCCATTTCCCAGTTAAGTTTGTCACAGTCCCTATATATATGATAGAAAGCACCAACTGGGAAGAAAGAACCCATGGCAATTCCATTACACAGGAGGTAGTGGGGGTAGTAAGTATGTACATTCTATGCCATAGCACCACGGAAATAGTGGCCAAAAACAATAAAATACTACTACAATATCTTTACTATGTGCGATTCTGCATTGGTTAAAAGTGGTTCCAGTGGCAGATTCGGTCATTTACAAGCTTTATGGAGTCATCTGTAAGCCCGGAACCAATTCAATGCAGCTGATGAAAGAAAGAGAAGGGGGAGAGGGAGAGAGAGAGAGGGGGGAGACGAGAGAGGGGGAGAGAGAGGGAGAGAGGGAGGGGGGGGGGGAATGAGACTCTCAGGCCCTGATTCACTATTGGGCGTGTGGGCGCATATTTATGGGCTTAAGCCCAATTTTCATGGGCGTCCGTCCATTTTTGACCCTGCAACCTAATTCACTAGTGAGCAGAGCCCATAAGCAGACGCCCAATCTAATTCACAAAAAGACACACGCCCGGAATCAGACTCACAAAAGCAGACTTGCTAAGAAGCACGTCTAACACCATGAAAAATCACTGTAGAGACATGTTCACTTAGAAATTTGCTTTGCCAAATATCAGGACTTCACTTTAAACAATATCTGCTATTTCCAAAAAAATTAAGAATGTGTTAAAAATCGTTTTTCTCAAGGAAATCGACACAGTAAAAATCTAGATGCCCGTGCAGTGTCTTTGGCAGATAGAACTGAGCATGTGCAGAACACCTTTTAGTCCTCTGCCATGGGCGTTTGCTTTTTAGCCACTGACTAATGGTGAATCTGATTGTGGATTCCTCTGACAGCCGGCACTCGGTCGCGACTACTGTGTTTAATAAACAGCATTAAGCATATCTTCATGTAATCTAATTAGATTTCCTTCGTTTTAGTGATTATATTTTTGTTTCTTATCCTTTATAATTATTTCTGTTATGATTTTACTTATTTTGAAGGTCTAGATAATATTTTTTTTGAAAGCTGAATGTAAAAATAAAGGTCCGCAATAAAAAAAAAAAAAAAAAAAAAAAAAACAGCGTGGGTCACCCCTCTCATCCATACCAAGCCCTTCAGGTCTGGTAAAAAAAAAACAGCGTGGGTCCCCCTCAATATCCATACCAGACCTTTATCCGAGCATGCAGCCCGAAGTAGATCCAACGTCAATCGCGGCGGCGGCGACCCGAAAAAAGGAAAAAAAAAAAAAAAAGGTTCCGCTCCCATCCAAGGCTTCCAGCCTAGTGAAGAAAAG